TGGGGTGGCGGGGGAGGGGGGGGGGGGCTTTTTATTTTAGAGCTGGTGATGATAGCTTTACTTCTTTCAACAACTTTAGCTCTACAAAGTTGTAATGCTCCAAGGTTGGGGAGGGGGGAGGAAGTGGATGACACCCCCCATCACTATCAGTTCCCTAAAATGACGCAGCGGAGAACTTGATGAGCACTGCCCTTGGCACTATAGTTAGAGAGGGACAACCTGGAACCGGCAAGATCTGGTCACCCTTTCTGATAAGAGGGCAGTCAGCTGAACGCAGCAGTACTGTAAAATCACAGGCTCAGCTGGCATCACAAAAGCTCAGTACCTCAATTTTTGAGGTTTGTTTTCTAGTAAGTTGAGACAGTGTTAAAGGACAATCAGTCACTGAATAGTTTAGTTCCACATGTTCTATAATCTTAGTCTAATCAAAACATAGACATCCTCCACACACTCCTTATTTAAGAGCATTTAAAAAATATTAAGTGTATCTATCTTTGATAGGAGACTCATGACAAAACACGAGGGTGTCCTATACTATCATTTTCTTCTTGCACAAAATTAAGTAATAGATTAAGAGCAAAACAGGGGCAATGCTTAGCCTTTCTGAAGTTATCAGAATACACGTGTATTCAAAAAGTGGTAGGCAAGCTAATCAGTAAGGAAAACCAATCAGTTACAGAAAAAGGAGACGAGTAATAATACGAATGTGAGCAAAATCAGTGCTATAGTAGATGCAGTTACACATAGTGCACACAAGTGATATAACAATAATATATTCAAAACCATGATATATACAAAACATTTATTTTTTCTCCCATTTAAGTTTATAAAAAAATTTTCTGAGCTTGACATTCCAGCATATATTTGATGTGATAGGAGAGTATACTCAAATAATTATTTGCTCACAATTCTAACTATGAGATTACAACTGCTAAATTACCTTTCCAGTCACTGCTTCATCCAAAATAATCCAGATAGTTACTTTGGGTGGGAAAATAGACAGAAAACCTGACAGCAACACCAGCTTCTAAATCTGAGATGCTGAGTGTACCTCAGTAATACTTTAAACACCTTTTAAGCATTATAGAGAATAAAGCAGAGTAATTGTTGTATTAACATCTGCTATTTAACATGGAAAAAACCAAAATCTTAACTGTTCACAAAGCATCCAGTTGGTAACTTGAAAAAAAATCACTTTTTAGTTGTGACTTTTAAAAAAGTTATATTTTAAAATTACACTATGCCATAAGCTTTGTAGCTTCCCAAAGAGGTCAAATATTTGTTATTCTCCTGGAGATTTCTAATTGCATATGGAGTAGCAGGGAATGGTGAATAATTGGTCTAACGGTTGTTAAAAGATTTAAGGATTGGTTTGGGGAAAGGGGCAAGCAGGTATCCCCAGCTGTTTTTATTACCAGTAGAACATTTTGAAGCTTGCAGTCCAAAGAATGCATTCTAGCAAGTAAGGAATGCACTCTCTTGGGGAAGCCTGACTTAAGTTACAAGGAGGCTCTCTGAGCATCTTTTTTCACTTACATTTTCTCCTTCAACATCTTTTAGTTCAGACTTATCAAATCTACTTGTTGAAGATGCCTTTGTTCAAAGTCAAGAGTATCCAGTCAATTCAAGAGTTAAATGAAAATATTATCAGTAACTGGAAGTAATTCTAAACTCCTAGAAGCTTAGAACTTTCAACTTATTGGAAGAGTCAATCACTTAAACATTATGCTCAGATACACTATGAGGTCTTATTCAAAGCTCTTTCAATTCCACTAGTAATAGCAACTTGACAAATACTCTAATGCACAGATAGCACAAATATTTACATGAGAGGAACAGTATTTACAGTGAGCTCTTAGGTATTTCTGATTGCTCCTAAGCCACAGTTAGTCCTCTACGGTTTCCGAGAGCCTGAGCCTTTTTCTTCTTTCTCTCCTGCTCATGCTTTTCGCGCCTTTCTTCCCTGAAGAGGGAGAGAAAATTAATCAAACTGGAGGTTTAAGTAAAGAAGCAACCAAAAGGAATCTTAAGTTAACCAAGGCTTTACATACATTTAACCAAGCTTAACATATATTTTACCAATGCGCTGCATTAGCTATGGGCAGAGAACAGTTCCACTTTAGATCGACTCCAAACTTTCAGACAAACATTTCTTCTCAGACATACAGATCTAACATTGACATACAGATCTAACATTGATCTAACAGATCTAACAAAAAAGTCAACATTCACAGCTGCTTTCTGAGATAAAGATAAATGGCTAAGTGCTCATATTAATAACTTTCATGGAATAGAAGTCTGCATCTGATTCATAGTTTCCTTCTATCTTTCTGGCCTTCCTGATACTAGACAACCGTTGGAGGCAAAAATTGCTTTAATACAATAGTATTCTTTCCTGAACTATATATTTAAAAATATGTAAAAAGTCAAATTGAACTATCACGTTAGCTTTATATGAGTAATGTTATTTAAAATAAAGTTGTACTAACCTTGTCTGGAGAGGTGGCTGTTTGTAGTCTTTCCTGTATGAAGAGATGTTGCTGTTCGCAGACTTATTTAGGACTGTACTTTCTTTAAATTCTCCCCAAGGTTTTAGTCTTCCTATAATTTAGAGGCAAAGAGGCCAGTGAATTAGTATAGTTCATTGCTTAACTTGTTCTTATCCTGATTATACTAGCTAGCTTGTTTTGTTGGTTGCCTTTGAGATTAAATGCAGTCATCTTCAGCTGCATTTTTAGTTTCATCAGCCCATATCTGGCAAGTAGATTTCTGAGTAACAGTCTTTACACAAAGAGCACGTCAACTGCTTTGCTTCTCCAACGTTGCATTCTTTATAGAATAAGAGCACCAAAAAAAAAAAAACCACCAAGAAAACCCCCACAACACAACAAAAAACACCAAACTTATATTTCTTGTGCATATATACGTTCAGAGAAAGACAAAGATGTTCATTCATGTACCTTTATGAACAAAGGCAATAAGAGTGTGTTCTTTGGTAGAAATAGGCTTTTAAAAGCCTATTTACAAATTTAACATCAATGCACAAACTGAAGTTTGCAAACACTGTGTGGGAATGCAGTCTTAATCAGGTATGCAAAAAGAACGAGCAACTTCGTTACATCATGGTTCGTATGAATGTCTTACAAGGACTTTACTATATGGGATATACTGACAGCAAAAGGCACAAGATCACAGTACCTTTATGGGGCTGATACCGAAGCGGCCTTGAGAGACTGGCTTTGAGATCAAATGTCTTCTTTGTGCTTGTGGATTCTACAACGTGAGCTGCGAACTTGAAGGGGGTGATAACTACAAAAAGCATCAAGATATCATATTTAATAAGAAATAGCAAGAACATCCCTGTATATATCTAGTTATAAAGTATCTGAGGAGACCACCTTACAGCTATCAGAATTTAAAGGGCCATAAAATGCTACCTTCAGCTACCTTGGAAGGCAGAATTCCACAAATACCACATATTTGAAATGGGGAGTTTTCAGATCTAGAGAAAGCAAGAGGTGCAGAGTAGCAACCGTTTTTTGCTCCGATTTTAAGCAGAGTGCCCTGGGAAGCAACAAACCTGCTACACCTACAAACTGGATGCAGTGATTCTTAGTTTAAGCCAAAGTTGTAGGCACAGTTGTGTAAACCATATTACAGATATCGTTGGCCACAGAAACTGACTATTTAAATTGCATAATTTTATACCGAAATTTAAGGTGTCATTTATACATATTAATTCTTTAGTCAAGTGGTTCTCAAGGTGCCTTAAACCATAACCTCAGACTGCATTTGGAAAGTAAATTTCTGTAAATATTGTCCTATCTTCTCACCAAATGAAACTGGCAACAGTTTTTTTCCTGAGCCTATTTATTATTCTTTTGGGATACAAATCATTACTTTTATTAAAAAAAAAAACAACAAAAAAAACACACTAGGGTGCCACAATTCAGCTTTGTAATACGACTACGAATAGCACATATTGACCATGTAGCTTTCTCATCCTTAAGAGAAAGTTGTTTGCTTCCATAATCTCTGTACTTTTATTTGGTAACTCAAATAGTTTAATGCACAATAACAATTTTCTGGAACACTTCAGCTTCAGTGCACAATAACAATTTTCTGGAACACTTCAGCTTCAGATCTGCAGTGCATCTTTCCCCTTCCCCCCCTCAGATTTCAGTATTCTCATACAGCAAGGCAAGCCACTCTGGGCTCGTGGGCTATGCTAGTGTACTTCTGATGCTAGCGTTAGGTAGCAGAGCTGTGCTGATGCAGAGGTTATTAGTCATAGGAAGATTTCTGCTTTTTCTTAGAGCCAGGGTTTTGGATCACAAGCCAGCTAGAGTTGCTGAGGGTGATGACACCAGGTTGTCCTAAGACACAGCTAGATGCCGGGTGCATATCCTTTTTCTGCAAGAAGGATGAGACCCCTGAGAAGGTATCAGGGATCCCTCTCACAGAGGGGAGAAGGATCTCCCTGTCTCTGTTACACAAAACTTTTGCTATGTAGTCCATAAAAGTCCAGAAAGGTTTCTAATCCCTCCCATCCTATATTTAGTCACTTCCGTAGGCAGATAAGGCATTTCAAAGTCTTCACGCTTATTGTGCCCTTAGTTCTTAGCACCTAAGCTTTTAGTCAAAAGACACAGGAAACTAAAAGAAACTACTGCAGCTTCTAAAGAATCAGTCTTGAATTAGAGAATTAAATTAAAACCTGGACCTACAGGAAACTAGGATATAGAAGATTCGTATAAAAATATTCAGTAGGAAAAAAAAGTCTTGATCTGAAAATCCAGGTATTTACCATTCACTTTGCCCTTTGATGCGTTCAGATCATTACTTGTTGCATTCCCCTTGCTGTTTTTCCTACTTAGGATTTTGCTGCTCTTCTGGCTATCAGGTGTGCAGGCCTCCTCCAAGTACGGAGACATTCTAGATGGAGTCTTAGTAAGAGAGCGCTTATGCTCATTATCTCTTGTGGCTTCTGAGAACCTGAAAATTATTAGAAATACAAAGACAAAATTAGTTACCTATATGGAATGCAAGTGGTACAAAGTTTGGTCCTTTTGTATTCTGCCATGTTTTACAGGTGCAAAGTTCTTGCATATAAGATATTCACAGCTAATGCAGCAGCCACACTAAAAATACCTTTCCTGACAGCTTTCACCTTATGATCCATCATTATCTGCAATAAGTACTATTAAGATTTATAGGAAGCTGACTTTCTTGATGTTTTGGAGAGCAAGTATATTTAGATGCAGTAAGCTGGGAGATGTTCTTCACTAAGAGATGTAGTTTACTTTACATTTGGATTCTGTAGTAAAGCATTTATAAAAAGTAATATTTCCTTTATAATAATTTGAATTTTCAAAGTCAGGAGAAAAGCTAAAAGAGAAAGAAGTAGCTAGCCGAACTTCACAACTCAGTGAGAGTAAGGTGAAAGCTGCAAGGTATGGAAAGATAGTGAGTAAATATTGCAGAAAACTATGTTTTAAAGGCTAGAAGATTTATGGATAAAGTACAGCTTGCAATATCTAGCTCAGCACATCTTTGTACAAATGGAATAGAAGTGTTGTTGTTTTCTATTTTACATATTGTCCAAGAATCAAGTAGGACTGCAGTGAAGAGAATAAGCAATATTTAATAAGACACTAAAGGCAGAAAGAATGTTATTTTCATACATTGTCATCTTTACTGAAAACTGATACAACAGAACCAAAACAGGTTAAGTAGTAGGAAAGAGCATGGAAACTAAAAATAGTATTTTGAAACAAAGCTAATAAGATTACATTCTTGATTTTGCAAGGACCGGGTAATCCTCATCTCTGAATAGCAAAAGAACTGGCACACAAAAGTTACAAGCCCCATAAGTATACATATTTTTTTAATTAAAGGTTGTCAATATCAGAAGTTGTACTATTTGACTTGAGAATAACAGAAAAAAAATTATTCAGGGACAAAGAACAGTCCTAACAACTAGACTTCTTGGCACGTCAGTGTTCTGAATAGCTCTTAAGAAAACAAAGATTATCAGAAAAATAGATTATAACACAACAGATACTTGAGATTAACCCTCTATCTTTAGCAAGGGAGAAGGATCAGGGCAAAGTATGGGATGTCTCAATCTGGATTTCAGTCACTGTGGAAAGTTAAGTAAATTGAAGAAAGTAGGGATTAATACAACAGTTAGAAGCCAACCAAGAAATAGTAAAGACAATGAACTTTGCTGAAAGGAAAGCATTTGGGCAGAAGGGTATTTAGTAATGCAGTACCATAAGGACTGTTCTTTCAATTCCTTAAGTGTTTCTGTTCAAACCTTGAGAAAAATTAGTAGTAAACTAATAAAGTTTATCGATAATAAAAATTCAGGAGACAGTAATCTAATTCTCCACTGTATTAATGTGTAGGAAGACAAAGAGTCCATCATGCTTTAAATGGAAATTAAATTGAATAGCATCAAGTATGAGCTTATTCACTTAGGAATTCATTGTGACTTTCTGGTGTCAATGTGCTTCCCATCTGTTAGAAACAATCTGCTTTTATCAGTTGAGCGCAAGAGCAAGTTTAAAAAAAAAAAAAAAAAGCAGCAAATAAACCATCTTGGGTATAACCACCCAGTGTATACAGTTGGAAGTAAGAGGAACCTGTTACCATTCGCAGAGGTCCATTGGGAAACCTCACCTGGAATATAGTATACAATTCTGTTAAGTTATCTCCTAGATAAGTTAATTCAAATGTAAGAGACAAATAAGAAGAAAGTGAAGGATGAAAGAGGCAAAACTCCTATCTTCATTAAACTGAAGAATTGAGACAGTATCAGAACCATCAGGTTTAAACTAGCCATGAAGTTAGGCTGAAAGTTAGAAATTAGTCTCATGTATTTCAAGTTCAAAATAGAGATAAAGTCATTCAAATCACAGTCAGTGTTTAGTATTTCATGTATATTATATCAAATTGCTGACTGATGGCTTTAGTTCATTCCTTTTACCTGACATTCATTTTGGTTGTTGAGAGGACAGAAGGATTAAATGAAGATTTCCTGGATAAAATAGTCCTATTTGCAGTGTTCGAAGAACTGCGTGGTGAGCGTCGGAGGTTGCTAGGAGTGCAGGTGGTGGAGAATCTGCCTCTCTCTGGATTTGGGCTGAATAAGAATGTTTTACCACTGGAATGTTTCTAGGGAAAAGCAAAGCATGAGTTAGCACATTCCTCTAAAAATATATTAGGAAGGAAGGAAGGCTAAGAGGAAGGAAAAAAATACGTACAATGAATCAAAAGCATACAGTCTTTTCTGCTTTCAAAGAAAAAAAAAAAGACAGATCTCCTATTTTAAACACAAGAAGTTTGTATGTTATTTAAAAAGTGATCTGAAAAACACATACCTTAGAATTGTTATGTGGAGTACCTTTTTCTGATACCCTTAAATGATTAGATTTTTTGGCCAGCACCTGCCAAAAATAATTTATCTTAGGTACATACATATACATTGCTTGTCATAGAAAGAGAAACGTAACATGGAGGAGTGTTAAGATCGATACAATGACGTTAATTCTTACACAGTGTCAGAACTACTGGAATAAGTCTGCTACACCCTGAAAGAGCCCCTATTTTCAGTTCTCACGTATACAGGTACCAAATACAAGAACTGGGAATCAGGGCCACCAAGAACAACATATAATGCATATAATTTAAGGGAGAGTTGCATGCAGTCATTGGTCTAAGGCGCTTTTTTTTATGTCTTAAAGAAGGAAAGAAAAATATTTAACTCCCGCTTTTTGAAGAATGATTTATCTGCAGCAATTCAAGCAGTCATAAATAAAAGTTTCAGAATATCCTCCACAAAGTAATTAAGAATTAGTTAAACTACAAATTAGTTATAACAAGTAGTTATAACAAACTTAATGTCACTTCTCAGTAAAAATACATAAATAACTGTATATAGTTATTTATAACTGTAAAAGTTATATATAAATTTATATATAAGGCATATATAAATAACAATGTATAACAAGTTATGTAGGACTCCAGTTTAGTGGAATGCTTCGATCAGTGAAATTGAAGGTACGCATGAAAAACCACTTACAGTTCTAAAGAATCTCTGCAAGCAGGACTTTTAAAATGAGGCTTTGTGTAGGTAAATGAATATTGTCTCCGATTTTCCAAAGACCGTGTGAACAGTGGATGTCTTCCTATGTCAGCGCTTACCTTGACTTCATTGAGAGAACTGCTGCAGTTTTCAATTATTTTTTTTTTCCTCTCAATGTAGTCAGCAATGGACTCCATTTTCCTGAAGTGAGCCTCATGCAACTTTTTGAAGTCTAAGAAGTTCCAAAAATAGGAAGAGTTATGCATCTGATAAGATTCTAAGAAAAATTACTATTACATAGAACATAGAAAACTTGCAACACCTATTACCAGGGGCTGAGAAAAAACATGACAGCACCTTTAATGAAAGACTGCATCTCTACACATGGTCAAATACCAAATGAAATAGCATCTACTTCACCAACTATTTAGCCAGTTATATGGTACATATTCTGGAGAATCTTTTAGCTCAAGGGGAAAAAAAAAGAAAAAGAGAAAGAAAGAAAAAGATTCCTTTATCTGGTGATCCAAAAACTTTAAATGCCTATCTGATTTTTTTACACAGCGATCAAAATCGGCAAATACGTGGTAATATACCACAACAGAAATATTTATGAAGTGTAAGCTGAACAAGTAGGAATCACAGCATGTCTTCCTGCTCTTTTTTGTTTTGACCATTGTGAATACAGGTATTATATCCAGAACACATCAAAACATGTGACAAACCACTTTTAAACTAGGCACAAAAGTCATTTACTACCATAAATATACAAAAAACTATTGGAAAATAAAATTCTCAATGCAACTTTCTGGAGGTTTGGTTGTTTTAAAGAGAGGGTATTTTCTTTTTTCAAATTAAGTGAAAAGAGAAGTTTGATCCATAAAAATTGTGGGGCAAGTCTCTCTTCAGACACAAACAATACATCTATTTATAGAGATGGTAGGTATCTTACTCGGTGTGGTAGCTTTTGTTCCCGTTTTCCCAGACTTAGATGCACGGCCTACATATAAAGGGATCTTCCCTCCTGCGGGATGAGCTAGAAGAGCATCACCTAGGGCAGAGAGGTTAGGCAAGGTGGTTAGGACTACTGGACATTAATTTAGCGTAATTAAAGCCCGTTTTGAAAAGCTACTTGAAACGCAAGAAGCATGCGTTCTAAAGTATATCTCCTCTCCTCAAAGTATCTCTTTCCTTTGAGAAATAAAAGGTCAACTAGAATGAATTTGTCCTCAGTCTTTTGAAAGTCTTTTAAATGGTGTATGTCAATAATGACATGTCTTGGTGAACTACAAGCTTAACGTGAATCTGCAGTTCAAGCTAGGTTATTTTATTTTGAATTATTACTTCTCTTATTTCACATAAATTTATACAAATTAGCAAGAAAACTGCTTGTCACAACTTTAAATGCAGAGAAGATCTTTAACTGCTTAATAAGCTAGCAATTTTTAAATTTTGATACCTGACAGAACAAACACTTTTTAGCAAACTTTTCAGCTGCTGCCTTAAATATACACAGAGTAGAGTTCTTTTTATCATTTCTGCCCTCAGGTCAGCTTCTGTTTAATCTTGTCTCTACCTATGTTTTTAAGTATAGTATTAAATTTATTTTCTTATTTAGTACTTAATTGTATTTCATTTTAAAAAGTCAACTACAGACTTCAGATTGAGTTCAGTAAGTAGGAAAAGAAAGATGAAGTGCGAGGAAGAAAGTTCTCCATTTCTTGCCTCGTTCCAAAGGGGCTGAGTAGCGTATCAGTGGTATTCCTAAAGGCACTGATCCTAAACAAGGTGCAAGACTCAAATACGCTCAGATCTTTGAGAACTCCTTCACTAAAACCAATCAACAACAGGACCGCAGTTCTCAAGTCAAATCCAGCAGAACGGCTATACTGCTGACTGTGTGAACTTGCTTTACAATACGATAAGCAAACAAGTACATAAGCCTAAATTACACAGATTCTGTTCAAGTATCCTTACTCAAGTACTGTTGGTCCATCAGATCACCAGACATTCCACAAAAATCTTTGTGGACACAATCAAATGCACTTTTTGATTATTTTAATTAGTACGAATGACTAAACTTACTCTGTTGGAAGTTTTTACTTACATTCCACTCCACTTCTCTTAGTGGAAATCTTCTCTGGTTGCTCTTTCTGCCCCATACCCATCGCTGGATTCTCTATAGCTCTCTTTTTAGTTACTGATTTATCGTTTTGGAATACTTTCTGTCCCTTTTCATGCTGTGGCACTTTGTTTTCTTTCATTTCTGAATGCTCCTGTGGTTTAAACATACTTCGGTTAGGCAGATTTTTTCAACTGGACATAAGGAAAACATTTTCCACAGGACAGACAAGAGATTTTCTGAAATCCAACCTGAATTATAAAGCACTTTAATATTAAATTGATTTTGTTGGCAAAACATAAATTCACTGACCATGTCACTTTTTACTACTGTAGCTGTGGTTACTGTAGGCTTTTGCTTACTCAGACATTTTGAGAAATTTTCACCTAAAAAATGATTTCTCTTATTCTCATTCTTCCACCTTTACACCAGTAAAAGTCTTTCATAAAGTTCTGTCTTAGTTCTCCCTCTACTTGCATGTGATTTTAGAGGGGAGAAGAAAAAAGTTTTATCCCCACCTCACCTTGAAAACCTCCTCTCCCTCAGTCATACAACCAATATATATTAAAAAGAAAAAAGGGGGGGGGGGGGGGGGAGAGAGGAGAAAACAACCAGCCGAACACACCAAGACACTCGCCCCACATACTTTGAAATTGAGAGGAATGGGAAACCTCCAGCCCACCAGAGCAATTAATCTGCCTTGTAGTTAGTCTGTCTCTATGTATAGTTCTTCAGAAAATAATCTAAGAGTTACCTTTTAATAGAAAAAGGAATTCATATGAAAAGGCAATCACAGAGTTTCTGTGAATTTTTACTATACAGGAAAGTGAAAACAGCCTGATTTTAGATAAGTTTCAAAACTTGCCTAACAATCTCGTGAATACTATGATGAACCAATGAAAATAGTCTTATATTCTGATAAAATAATTTGAATGATACAGTCTCTATTTGATCTTTTTCTTCAATAATATTCCCTCCCCCCCAAAAAAATGTACAAAAAGAACAAATTATATGTTCATTTTGGAGTAGTGTATAGTCAAATTGGACAAAAACAGAGCTATAAAGCACAGAAGACCAATAACACTAGTAGGTCTGCATACCAAAAAGTGAATGTTACCTGTTAAACACTGGTAAAATGAATCAACTCCGTTTAACTTATGCTTCACTACATGTGTTTAGCGGAGGGAGGACGGGGCAGACACTCAAACCCAAGAAACGTAAATCACCTCTTTCTCAGCAGAATGCCCTGTATTGTCTTCACTGCTGTTAGTTTCCTCATTGGAATTGTTTTTTTTTCTGGTTGCTTTCTTTTCTTTTCCACGCCTTTTTGTGATAAAACACACTGGATCAGGCATAAGTTCCTCCTGACTGTTCTGTTCATCCAATTCGATGGAAGCAGATGCACTTTCTTCAGAGTCCTATATCAGATAAGTACCATCATATGAAACATATCTGACATATACTACAAAGAGACAGCTTCAGCGTTATTATCGGAAAAGGCGTGGTCTTTAGTAGCACAGCAATGAATGAGTGATATCTAGGTTTCCTTAAATAGCAAGCTGATTATTGGAAGACTGAGACAGAAAACCTACAGTTGTTTCATTATATGCACAATATTCTACAAAGACATTTAAAAAAACCTAATAGTTTATATTGGAAATTTGACTTGCATGATGCTGTGATCTGCCAAGTTTTTACATTCCTATGGAATAACCTTAAAAAAAAAAAGAGAGAGATACAACAACAGCATTCTTCCACACTTATCATACCAGACTGTAATCAGATGTTGGAAAAATATGTAATATATTCAAGTTGTTACTCATGCGTCGAAGCTTGATAAAATTAAAAATAAACTGACAAGGATTACACAAGCTCTCCATATTTTAAAAGAAGCAGATTATAAAGGAAGCATTTAAAATATATGGTGTGTTTTAAATAGATTCTAATTTACTTTTGTCAAAAAATGTATAAACATTCCATACTCAATGAAATACTTACAAAAGGGAAAGCTTTAGGAAAAAAAAAAAAAAAAAATCAAGAAAATAACATATTAAGAGATGATTAAAGGAAAGGTTCTCTTCTCTTATAACATCAGTAAGTAAACTGTAGTAAATGGAGAATGCTTTGAGATGAATACCCAGTCCCTCCCTCATCTAGGCATTTTTATATTTAGTATTGACTAGCACTTGGAGCTAAAGAGGCAAAAATTAAGATTTGGTCAATGGAAATTGAAGTGTTAGTGTTCACAGGGGATAATTTTGTGCTTACACTGAAAAAATACACTGCTGTTTTTGGCATGAGGGGGTGGGGGGAAAAAATAAAAAAAATCAGCCTTCAGTCATACACACAACCACTTTAAAGCTAATATCAACACATCTATTTCAATCAGTATGCAAGTATACTGAACACTGTTTAAAAAATATATATTTTTTGTTACAGTTTGCACCATGTTAAATGCGACATTCACTACATGCCATACTTTACTAGTTACAAAGTTAGATTTATCTTTCTTAAAGAGAATAGCTAATTTCTCATTATTACCATATTTTCATTTTCTTGTTTTGCTCCATGAAAATGTTGCTTCAGTGCTTTCAACAATTTGTCTGCCTGCAGAGAAATCAAAACATATGAACTAAAGATTATATTAAGTCATCAGACACTTGCACAAACCCTATAAGCACCCTAAAAATCAGTCCAAACTAGCAAAGCACTTGCTGAATCCAATAAAATAGAACTCTTAAAGCATGCTTGAAGCCTCATTAAAGTCAGTCAGATTTGAGAACATACTTAAGGCCCAGGCTAAATATGTAGCATACAAAGAGAGATTTCCCCGACCAGATTTCTTCTGGTCTAGCTATTGTCCAGAAAGGTCGATTGTTCTAGGATAAAAGAAACTATTTCAGCAGCCTAACTGAATGCTAATAACATTGCACCCAACTTCTCTAATAACTTTTTCCCATTTCACACAATACTATATGGAAAGCATTCTCCTCATCCCTTCTGTATATTCACATAGAATAATAATAAAAAAAGACACACCATCGATATTTTAATCTATGAATAAAAGACTTTAACTGGAAAGGTCAGCATAAAATCAGTTCTGAACTAGAAGTTACACACAAAGTAACAGAGAACCAAAACCCCAAGCAGAAGCCTCAGTCCTGTGAGGACAATTAATCCTTGATCCAAATTACCACATAAGTGGTGCATCTGGGGTTTCCCTCTGTCTGTTTTTAAAGGCTGTACGCCTTCTCGCACTGGTGGTGCGGGTCTGACTTCTGCTGAGGGATTTACCAGCGGTACCTGCCAAGATCAGGCCAGGCTGGGTCACTGTCATATACCCGTAGGGCCCTAGGCAAAACAGATGGGCACATGCTTTAACTCCTTGTTCTTAATTCCTATCGGTAAGTAAAAAATAATCACTCTCGACCCTTCAGGCTCCCCGTGGTTACTACTCTTCCCAGCCCCAGTCGGATGAAACGCCCGCGTCGGCGGGTACGGCCGGCGCGGCGGGGGCAGCGCGGGCACGGCGGGG